CAGCATCAGTATCAGCATCATCATCATCATCATCATCATCATCATCATCATCATCATCATCATCATCATCATCATCATCATCATTACCAGCATCATCGTCATCGTCGTCATCAGCATCACCAGCATCAGCATCAGCATTGTCGCTATCACATCATCAGCATCAGCAGCATCGTCATAAACAGCATCATCATCACCATCACCACCACCACACTCACCATCATCATAATATTCGTCGTCATCACCATCAGCACCACCATTACCATCAGAATCATCATCATCGTCATCATCCTCAACATCATCATCACCGTCATCATCATTATCATCATCAACATCATCATCCGCATACGCGTCCGCATCCGCATCCTAATCCTCTTCGCCATCCTCATAATCATCTTGATTACCAGTAGGATTGTGCCACCTCAATATGGTCGTCGTCGTCGTTGTCATCATCCGTACAGTCATCATCAGCATCATCATCATCATCCTCACGAGCGTCACCTCGAATACCATGACACCGAACAATACTCAGCAAATGATTATTGCGCCGCCGCCGCCGTTGCCGCCTTCGCAAAGGAAGTGGGGAGAGGGGGGAGGAGAAAGAAGAGGAGCAGGATCGGGGATCTTCTGACCCGGGTCAATCCAGAGCCGGGCCAGTCAGGCCTTGCAGAATCCTGCAAGATCCTGCAAGATCCTGCACACATACCTGGGTCAATGCGAAGGATCCTGCAAGGTCCTGCGAGATCCTGCACCCAAACCCGGGTCAATGCGACCCTGGCCCTGCAAGATCCTGTAAAATCCCGCGCTCTGGCTGACCCCCGATTGCATTGACCCACGTTTCAAGGCTCCCGAGAGGAGAAGCACGGGGCGAACCGGGGGGCCCGCAGAGATAATTGCCAGCCAAGGGCTTTTTGGGGGGGGTGCAGGACGAAAAGCCTCCTGAGGTCAGCATCAACAGCATCGCATGGAATTCTCACACACGGGATTTGGCCTCAGCTACTCCCGCTGCAACTGGGGTCTCGTGTTAGGATCGGCGCTTTGTTCACATCGTTCAAAAATGGCGCCCTCGCCCCAACCCGGGCCACAACTTTTGGGGCCCGAGTGTCTCCTCGTCGTGGCCGCCCCGCTCCTGTCCCCTCCCCCGCCATCCCCTGGTCATCTTGCCCCTCCCGCTTCTCCCACTCCAGCTCCTGCTGCTCCTGCTGCTGCTGCCACTCCGCATATTCTTCCTCCTTCCTCACCCCTGGCTCCTGTTCATCTTCTTGTTCACCCGCCACCTTCTCAGCCAATGTACGCAGCTCCCCTTTCCTCCGACTGCGCATGACGCGATGGGATCACCATCATCATTATCGTCATCATCGTCATCATTATCCTCATGGCCATCACAATCGTCGTCATCATCACCATCATCAACAGTATAATCAGCATCATAATCATCATCACCATCAGCAACATCGTCAGCATCATAGAATCATCATCATCATCATCATCATCATCATCATCATCATCATCATCATAATCATCATCAGCAGCAGCAGCAGCAGCATCAACAACATCGTCATCATCATCAACATCATCATCAGCATCGTCACCACCATCATCATCATCATCATCATCATCATCATCATCATCAGCAGCAGCAGCAGCAGCAGCAGCAGCAGCAGCAGCATCAGCATCATCATCACCATCACCACCACCGTCACCATCACCATCGTCGTCGTCATCGTCACCACCATCACCACAGTCATTGTCATCACCACTATCACCACCACCGCCACCATCATCGTCATCGTCATTACCACCATCATCTCTTGCCTGCCGCACCACGGCCGCCTCGGGCTCCGCCGCCGGCGCGGCTGCCTCGAGGGAGGGGCGCGCTCTCTGCTCAAGAGGGGGGGCGGCCGATGCGGGCGCGGCGTCTGCGCCAACGGCCCCGGGAGCGGATCGGATCGACTCGGCAAAGACCCCCTCGCGTCGCGAAACAAGCACGGCGGAGGATCTCGTGCCACACTCGGCCCCCCGGGGGCCGTCGCAGGGCCCCGAGACCGTCAGAGAACGACTCGGAGTAGAACGCCAGTCCCGGGGAACGGGTTGAAACCACTCTGGGTCGACGTCGTGCAAACATCGTGGCGTCGGGAGTCTCGAAGGAGGGAGGGGGGGGGCTCCTCTGACTGGAGACCGCGGTATGCCACAGCTTGACGCGCAGAGGCGCCGGGTGCGCGCAGGCTGGCCTGGCGCCCCACGTGCCAGAACGTGCGAGCGCCTTCCGCTCCCGTCGCGGCCAACCGCCACTCCAGGAGGGGGACGAGGACGAGGGGCAGGAGGCGGGCGAGGGGGAGGGAGGAGTGAGGTTGGAGGAGGGGGGGGAGGAGGCGATGGTGGGCAAAGGCGCGCGACGCAGGTCGGCCTCGGTGAAGTACTGGGGTCACCACCGCGGGCCCAGGTCGCAGGCCGCCTCTCCCCGCGGAAGGGCCTACGTGCACGGGAAATCTCAAGCAGCTATCCCCCAACAGAGGACACCCACTGCTGGACATTTGAAAGAAGATCGCGACGACGTCGCGCGAGGAGAGGGGGGGAGGGAGGAGGCAAGAGGAAGGAGGAGCACTGCGGAGCGCTGGGTCCGAGGCAGCGCGCAGGAGGTGCGGGAAGCTCTTCCAGCACCGTGCCCGGCGCGACCTCTCGCGGCCAGACGCCATGGGCCAGCACCCGGGAGAAAACCACGGGCACCTCTGGCCCAAAGCAACAAAACAAAAACAGCAAAAATGAGCCACCGAGACGCCCATGGCGCGCGCGCGCTCCATGCCGCAACCGAAGCAGGGCAAGGTCGCTCAGCCAGGCGGGGGACCGGGCGGAAGGCTTAAACAAGGAGGAAGAAGCAAGGAACCAGGAAGACGGAAGGAGGAGTAGGACGAGGAGGACGAAGGAATAGGACGAGGAGCGAAGTCAGAAAGAGCAACGGAAGGAGGAAGGACCAGCGCTCTGACTGCAGCAAGACGTAGACGATGGCGTACAACGGGTCAGCACGGCTTACCTTCAAGCGAGGTCGGCTGGCTCTGGCTGCTCCTCCAGTTCCCTGACAATCTGAGCCAGTGAGATGGGAGGTTTCAAAACAATGGGCGCTTAGGCGGAATCCTTCGGATGCCTTCTCTCTCTAGCACGTGGTCGTTGCAACATGCGTCCGTTATTGAGGGGGCGATCTGGGCACTTTTGAAAGCCTCGGGCTCCCTATGAGAAACAACCGCACGTCTGCAGAGTATGATACTCTACGACGGGGCATCCACCCCGCCCCGCATATCCGAAGAAAAATGGAGAACGGCCCTTGGGATTGGCCAGCAGCTCAGAGCGGTGGGCACAGAAGCCTGGGCAGTGCTCCTTGGCTCTGTGTGCTATGCTAGCTTCGCTGCCACAGCGCTGCCTGCCTGCATGCAGCACAGAGCCATCCCTTGCCCCATCCGTGCTACCCGTGGGCCCTCCTGGTCCAGATCTCGTCACCAGGAGCCAGAGGTCCTCCTCCTCCTCCTCCTCCTCCTCCTCCTCCTCCTCCTCCTTTTCCTCCTCCTCCTCCTCCTCCTCCTCCTCCTCCTCCTCCTCCTCCTCCTGCCCCTGCTCCTGCTCCTCCACCTGCTCCTCCTCCTCTCCCTCCCTCCCTCCCTCCCTCCCTCCCTCCCTCCCTCCCTGCCTGCCTGCCTGCCTGCCTCCCTGCCTCCCTGCCTCCCTGCCTCCCTGCCTCCCTGCTCCTCCTCCTCCTCCTCCTCCTCCTCCTCCTCCTCCTCCTCCTCCTCCTCCTCCTCCTCCTGCTCCTGCTCCTGCTCCTGCGATTCCTCCTCCCTCCTCCCCCTCTCGGGGCACGACGTCTTACCGTGCTCTCTAGTCCACTGCCTACTCCTCTGGGCATCGTTCTAGTCCACTGCTCTTCAGTCCACCCTTATTTTTAGTCCATCTTTTACCAGGGCAACTCCTCTGGGCATCGTTTCTGGAGGAGCTGGTCGGGCTACGCGTCACGTCTAGCCCGGGTTTCCGCCCACCGCAGCCCCCCACGGCCGGGACCTGGGCCCCCACCGGCCGCTCTCTACCCGCCCCAGAGGCGGGTATCGGGCTGCTCCCTGCGAGTTTCGACCCGGGGCATCGGGATGGAGCTGGGGATGAGGACAGGGATAGGTTAAACGGTACTGAGAGGCATAAACATAAACGGTCAACTCGTGCGATAAGGATGCGTGATGATGATGCGAGGGCCTCGGAGGCCGACTTCGAGGCCTTTCGGGAGGGGGCGCGGCCAACGAGAGTGGCCACGGATGGACCGAAGGGGCAAGGATAGGGGAGCAAAAAGTGACACAAACATAACAACTCGGAGGTCCGCGCGGAATTCTCGGATCGGCGCTGGGGCTCCCCGGCGGCGCCTCCGGCGCCGCCCCTGGCGCGCTCCGCGCGCCAGGGAAGGGAAATCCAGCGCCGATCCGAGAAATCCGCGCGGACCTCCGAGTTTGTACGTTTGTGTGACTTTTTGTTCCCCTAAAGCATGCAAGGGTACCCTAGGGAAGACTGCCCATCCTTACCGTCCAGGTTGACTGCAACTTCGGAGGTCCGCGCGGATCCCCTGCATCTTGAGCAGGGACCGACCGTCCCGGCATTCCTATAGCCCTACCACGAAATGTTCTTAGAATCCAAAAAATGTTCTAAGAACAAAAACAGTGTTCTTAGAGCATCAACCCGATGTTAAACCAAGACAGTCCCAGCCAGAAATGTTCTAAGAACATCTCGTGGAAACGACACAAGGTTCTTAGAACATTGTTTGGCAGGGCTATAGTAAAACAGGGCTAGGATCGGGATAAATCGATCCAGAGCGTTCCGGAGCGCTCTCAGAGCGTTCCGGAACGCTCTGGAGCGGCCACGGCGCCCAATACATCCTCCAAACCCGCCGATTCTCAGAGATTTCGAGTTATCCCGATCCGATTTTGTCCCGATCTTCGCGTCGTTTTGTGTAGGCGAGCCGGGACGCTTCGCCA